TCTCAGTATATTGAATAGATTTTGAGTGACGCTTGAAACAAATGAGCTGTGATGCCACGGAGTATAAGTTTGAGCCCGTGCCACTGAATACGAAAGTTTGGTAATATGAAAAATTTGATGAAAGTCCAGTAATATCTTTCGAACTGTCTTTGAATTTGTTTGTGGGCGCTTCTGTAAACGTTGATCTTAGGATGTGTGATACGATTGAAGAGGTATAAAAATAGGACATTGGTGTTGAAAGAGCAGGCGGAGGAAGGCAGTGAGTGTCACAGTTCTGGGGCTGTTGCTTCACTCATTGTTATGTGATGAACGTGAGGCCTGTGGCATTGGTTGCAACGTCTCGCATACCTGCCAGGTGCACCACTGTGCCTGCTGCTGACACACACACACACACACACACACAGTAGTTTCAAAGCGTTATATGACAAAGAGTGCTGGGAAAACGGGACACCACGAGCGTAGCTCTCATCCTGTAACTACACTTAGGTAATTACACACACACACACACACACACACACACACACACACACACACACACACACACGTACACGTACACCCACATACACGTACGTACGTCTATAAGTTGATTTCAACCATGATCAAGTTTACCATGCTGACCTTCAACCGTAAGTTTACAACCACTCTTCTCCTTCCCACCACCTTTCCCAAGCATCTTGCTGCACCTTTGCTTCCCCTCCCGTCACAAGATGGTAACAATACGGTACCTTCCTGCTGGGTCGTCTGCACCTCTGCACAGCTACTCAGCTGCACAATCATTTATTTAGTATATTGGATGTTGAGGGCGCCGGAGCCCGACATCGCTAGGATACAGCGATGCCGGGGCCCCCGCGACAAAAAATACACGTGAGATACAGCGTGTATTTTACGTCATGTAGATGTATCAAGAACACGTAGAAATACGCACACCAGCTGATCTGTAGGACCCAGACACTACGCCTACTCACGCACACACGGAACATGCGCTTTCATGTACGCACGAGATAAGAGCACACATGCACGAGCCACGTGCTCACGCATGCACGAGGCACGTGCTCACGCATGCACGAGGCACGTGCTCACGCATGCACGAGACACGTGCTCACGCATGCACGAGACATGCGCTCTAGCACAGTCACCAGACAAGCGAGCGCTCACACACGCTATCGGGAGACATGCGCACGCACACAGGACGCGCACTATGGAAAGGGTTATGGACAAATTACTCGGTTATTGATTATATTAACCGTCACCAGGTCCCAGGTGTTCCCTCCCTTGTCCCCTGCAACCCGTTCTCGCAAATTTGTAAAGTCAATATTGACTTATTAACTACGTGCATAGGTGATATACTAAACATAATAGATACCCCTAAAAAGATTCATAGAAAACACCGACCTTACCTAACCTTGTTAGTATCTTAAGATAAGCATCTTATTGCTTCGTAATTACAATTATTACTTAACCTATACCTATTATAGGTTAGGTAATAATTGTAATTACGAAGCAATAAGATGCTTATCTTAAGATACTAACAAGGTTAGGTAAGGTCGGAGTTTTCTATGAATCTTTTTAAGGGTATCTATTATGTTAAGTATGTCACCTATGCACATATTTAATAAGTCAATATTGACTTATTAAATTTGCGAGAACGGGTTGTCCCCTCACACCCCTCTCCCTGTCCCCTTCACTCCCCCTCTCCCTTACCCCTCACACCCCTTTCCCCTCATCTCTCAAAATCTCATCTCCCCTCTCTCGTGCTCTCACCCCCCCCCTCCCCTCTCTTCCTTCCCATAATCTCCCCTCTTCCTAAATCTAATTTTCCACGCCAGAGGACTTGTTTCCACTCATTATATGCGGATAGGAAAACTATATATTTTTTTCCTGAAATTTGTGGGTGTAAAACCTTAATAAGCGCTAATATGTATACTCTTGTCCTTTCTCTGAAAATGTATAATACATAATGCATAACAGGTGTCAGTGTTCCCCACTAACATGACAGGAATATGTGAGGCTTTAAATGTAATATTTCGTTGTGGCATTTCCCTACAACAGGGACGACGACGTTTCGGTTCGTCCTGGACCATTCTCAAGTCGATTGTGATTCTCACGATCGACTATGAGAATGGTCCAGGACGGACCGAAACGTCGTCGTCCCTTTACTTTCTAGTGTGTGGTCTGGTCAACATTAGTCACTCTAGTTGTAATAATAATTACTGTAGTGTTTATTGAAACGATAGTGATTGTAGTGGTAATTGTAGTTAGAGTAATTATAGTTGTAATAATAATTATAGCATTATTAATAACTGAAATTATTGTGAAGAACGGGAGCACATCAGCCATTTAGCTGGTATAATTATATTAATATAATTATCCTATTTAGCTGGTATAATTATATTATACCAGCTAAATGGTCAAGGGACTGCTCCCATTACGAGGAAAAGATTGGAGTTTTAACAGAAGGTCCAAGCCAGCTGTTATGGTCCTGTTACGAGCAGTTCCCCGCAAACTACATTCCAGTTTAACGACCCTTTGGGGTAGTTTGTGCGTAATGACGGCTGTGTGGCCGGGACCTGCGGCTGCTCACTTCGCAAACAGTATTTGAATTACCAGTAAAAAAATGAGTAA